CGAGGTAAAAAGCGTAATTGTCATTTTCTAGCGTGATTTTCTGTCGGATTAAATATCCATAAAAGTACGAGATACTTTGGAAAGCTAATAAATAATGTCGTAAAAAGCCTAAAACATCTTGTGCAGATATGTGAATTCCCGAGTCTTTTGATTTATAGTTTCCCATGAATAAATTACAAATCTGCATACTTTGGAAAACTTTTCTATAAATAGACGCGCCCTCTGGTAGGACGTGAAAGTCACTAAAAAGGCGGGAAAAACTCGAGACTATTCGTGCCCTCTAGTGAAAGTTGTTAGAACTAAGAATCCGAACATTTCTTAGGGCGAATAGCAGTTCCAACTGTGACTAATGTCCGTTTCTATTTATCGTGGTTGAAATCCAATCGACGATTAACTCAACAAGGATTAACCGATCGTATTAAATTGGATGAATCGACCGGTGTGATTGGTTAATTCCAATCGAGCTAATCGTCGATTAGACTTAAACCGTAGTAGAAACAGATATGAGTTCATACCGCAAGTTTTCGTACCGAAAGCATCGTCCTATCTCTCTTCAACGTGTAAAAAAAAATCAAGTTAGAATGACGAAGTTTCGAACACGAAAGAGTCCATTTCATGATGCAAATGATTCGAGGCGCCGTATGAACCAACCAAATTCCTTCTTTAAGCACTCCGAAGCGTTTGCCGCATGAAGCGGACTTCAGCCTACGATCGATTATTGTGAAATTAATCGCTAGAATAAGCGCAAACATTAAATTCGCTATAAATGAATATACATGTATACAACTGATATTTCTCTTGTTTTACAGACTTATGGGAAGATTACATAAAGCTGCAGGAGAAACACGAACAATGTAGTGTGTAAGTTTCTGAGTTTGTCATAAGTTTTGTATATTTCCTGATGAAAGATATGCTGAACATTTGATTGAAAGAGAGTATTTCAGCAAAATATCTCCATCGGGAGATATTTTAAATGTTCATTAAACATAGACAAATTCACATTTATTCTTACCAAAGTTAGCCTGTGTTTGATTCCAGGCGTTCTCCGTTTCAAATGACGATCGATAATTCCTCCGTAAAGACGGAAGACGAGCTAACCATCCAAAAACAATTGAATAATCGTGTCGTCTTGCCAGAAAGTAATGTTTCATTATTGGAGATGGACTCATCAGACTTAGACGCAGGTGGCCAGAAATTTCCCCATATCGACACAGAAAATAAACCCGTGAATCTAAGTGATGATTTTCTGGACTGCAGCCCGCCAAAGAGCCCGGTATTCTCCAGAACATATCCAAAAGCGAACGGCACTTTTGCGAAGAGATTCGTGCGATCGCCCGAAGCAGCAGCATCGTCATCGGTGCGTAGCGAAGCAACATCGGCGGATAGGAAGATGCATCGTAAGGATAGAAAATTTCCTTCACAGTCCAATCAGAAATTGAAGATCAGTACAACGTATCACGTAGAAACGACATTTTTATCGAACGGCAAGAAGCTAAAGCAATCCCGGCTTGAGTTTCCCGTTGAACATGACAAAAAGAAGATCCCGCCACTCGATGTAGGTGAACTTAAGCCGACCGGTACAATACGCGAAGCGAAACAAAATCTTACAGATACTTCAGTCGCAAAAACACCCGTTATTACCGAAGACGATACTGCAAGAACAAATGAAACTTGGTTTGAGGATGCGATGGAAATCAGTCCTACACAGAAGGACGTTCAAACATCTAAGTCTAGGCATTGCTTGAAACTCAAGAGAAAAGTTCCGAAGCAAACGGTGAACAATTCTCCAGATAAAAATAAACATCACCATCTTGGTCCGGATTTTGCGAACGCGAAGGCGGAAGTAGGTGATACGGACTTCAACTTGAGTCTCTCACCCGAACGTACTTCCGCAGAAGTGATATACGACAAGTCCGTAGCTAAGAATTCCGATAGAACAGTTCAAGTATTTAAGCATAATGTTAACGCATATAATCTTTCGTTGACACGCAAATATAATAAGGCAGACGGTAAAAATACAATGTCCATTGACGATGAGAGGAAGGATCAAGGAATAGTAAAAGATGAAGTGCAAAATATTTCTGAAAACTCGGGTGATTTGTACGAGGACGAGGTCCTTTATCTGTCTGCCGAGCGAACTGCGAATAAAAATGACACAGATAACTTCAATCTGGATGACACGGAGAACAAACCACCGGCGAAGAAACTGAGTAAAAAAACAATTAAATCTCTCATGCAAGTATTAGCTTAACATGTGCAAACATATGTGATAGCATAAGTCTTACGTACTTAAGGAAATGTTATTATTTACAGATGGTCGACGAAAAAGGAAAATGTTTCCGAGCGGCTTAACGCGCGAAGCAAAGCCGACAGAGCAAAATTGAACGGTTCGGACTGCTGGGAATGCGAAGAGGTATGAATACACTTACAATCCAATTATATAGATACATCATGCGCGGCAGTTCAGTTCTATTCTCATAATAAAAGAGAACCAATGCATCACGGGTCCTGTTTGATTTGTAGTATTACAAGAATCTATCCCTGTCGAAAGAAGAGTTGAAGAAACGAAAGAATCAATGTTCGCGCCACCGGCACAAATATGAGAGGCCAACTACACCAGAAGGTAAAATACTAAATCTCCCCTTTCTCGTACGTTATGTTATGTACTACATAACATACATGAATTTGTTTAAGGTTTCTGGGACCCGGGATTTCCCGAAACGCTGTCATGCACTTATCGTTACAATATAAAGTGATATATACTAATAATAATTTAGATAAGAACACAACATCACGAGCGAATAATAAGCGTTTATATTTATATTTATAAATGATGTGCTCATCAGAAATGTTAGGTGATGTAAGTATTAATAATGTAATGATTCAAGTGCCTGATCAGGTGCCAAATTCACTGACGAAATTAACTGGCGCTTAAATATTCGATAAAAATTAACGAAACTAAACCGTATGAAATGCAAACAGAATGTAATTTTTTGCTTTATTTACGCAATACACGCGCCGATGTATAAACAGGAGAAAGTGTAAGCGCGTTCTCATGGCTTGAACATAGATTGATTTATTATTTTACAACATGTATAGTTATTATATTTTTGGGTAACATAGTATAGATTTTATATATAACTATATTATTTTTCATTTATATATATATATATGTATAGACTCATCCCTTTACATAAAAATATAGAATCTGTTCTGTGAGTCGGTGCTACTGAAGAAGGCTAATCAAACTCAGTTGGTGATTTCAAGCGAAGTTTGACACAGTTTCAAGGTACGTCAGTGTTTCCTGCCTCTCAGAATCCCCGCGGAAAATGATGATACATATTCGCTGTCACGAAACGATTACATAGGCTCGCGAGAAGCTTTGATCCTTCTCAATCGCTGATCTCACTCGATATCTCGGTTTTAAGACAGGTCTTGTAAGAAGATATTTGAATCGAAAGAGTCGAAAAATTCGAAAATTCCCCAAAATTGTGTGTGATATTTGTATGTGATTTCCCTCGATAAGAGAGATAGGTAAACGTTACGGGCACGTGTACGAAGTACGGTGAAAACGTTGTCGAAACGGAATCGTACGGTCAGATCGTAGAAGCGCGAAGAGGTGCGCAAGTGTATGCGGTCTGCCTACGCAATAATTAGCGAGTTTAATCGCCAAGCAGCAATAAATCCCTCCTAACTTCGACCACGCCTATATATCAGCCTGCATTTCTTTCACGTGTATATATATATATATATAATCTGTACCGCTTAACATTATCGCTCATCAAGCTATATAATGTTCCAACAAAACGGGTCGCGCGTGGTTTCCTTCAGGACATCAAACGACACGCATTATCGATTCTCTCACAGCGACTCTAAAAGATACATAACGTTGCTCAACAATCGATCGGACCAATTTTCCAGTTCAAATGCACGTACACCGTGCAAAGTCTTCATCGAAAACGCCAAACTGTGCACAAAGAGAACGCTCTTAGATTTTTTTATGTTTAAAATTCACGCGCTTTTCTTTTCTCCTTTTCGTCGATAAAATTCTGCCGACTGACCATCCAACGTTTTTGCGCACGTTAAAAACGCGTTCTTCACGGCTGGAATATAACTTCACGGCGTAACAAAGGTCGACGTCATCTTCGTGAATTCGATTCGCAATTCATCTATAAAGCAAATATACAATATGTAGAACGTTAAAAAACTACTAAGAAACATTCTTTCACAAAGGCGGTAACAAAGGCGGCCGTTTCGATCCACTGTGTAAGTGGCTTCGCTAGGGTGAACTCGTGTTATGTACGTATTTGGTATTATGCAATTGACTCAGCTGATTGGTTTGTCACGTTATTATTTAAATGGAGTAAATCGAAAATCGGTCTCGTCCTCGTTCCTTTAAAGCTATCTTAAAGCACGTTAGTCGAAGGGCACGTAGAAGTTAATGCAATTCAATCAGTGTGTGTGTGTGTGTATGTACGTATGTATGTGTGCCTATGTGTGTGTGTGCACACACGAATTGTGCATACGCAAACAATGTCCTCGTTTCAAATCGAATCGAGTAACCAGACTGAGCTGTGCAGCCAGTGATACATGTCATACACCTTTGATCAAATATTAAAATCCGATGAACGGGAGACCTCTCATAGATATATTTCACAGTCGCACTTTCGTCCGTAAGTAGGACAATATGTGAAAGACGAAAGTCGTACGTATCTCACCTCGGTTCACGATTATGTCAGATCTGCCTCGTCGAACCTCCCCCTCTGTGAAACGAATGTAGCTCCAATTCAAACGGCCACGGTTTAATATTAATAAGCGCGCTGCTAAGATTGAGACACATCAATTCACTGGTACAAAATGTTTCGTCGTATCACCAATCGATCGTACAGTATATATATATATATACTGTACGGTCACTGTATAGCTCAGTCGTTGATGTATGCATGTTATATTAATGTAGGGTAGCCGAACCGTGCCTGCCTGCTGTCTGTCCTTTCTCTACAGGTACTTGCCCCTTGAAATAGGCCGCGTCTGAATGAGCAGAAAGGGACGTACGATTTAATCGATGTGATAAAACTGGTTTTACCGCACGAGCAGCGACAAACGAAGAATCATGCGCCACATTTACTTCAAGCTTTCATAACGTATATCGCTCGAGTTCCGAGCCTTTTTTCTCCCCTCCCCCCCCCCCCC